CAAATCATCTGAAGGCCATTCTCAAAGACTGCCAATCATCCACACAGATTGAAGTTTTCAATCCAAATAAACCCAGGAGATTCCAATGTATCATTGACTTTGCAGAATTCACCCCACCTGATTCATCAGGTCAGCCACTGGATGACCCTGAATACCACCATGAATTCAAGTCTTTGAAAGGGCCTGGTCAAAGTGTGTAATCAATCCTGTGGAAGGATTCAGTAAACCTCTTCCAGGATGAAACCTCCAGCAATGTATCTAGGAATATTTTTTGTTTCTTATTTCTGTTTTTTATCCAAAGGAGATCACAATTCACTTATTTCCATTTAAACTGAAGTAGTGGAAACACAGAGCTCTGAAACAGAGTCCAGATGGTTTTCCTGAACGTTAAGCTGCCAACAAAACATTTAAAGACAATGCTGCAAAACAGCTGCAGCTTCACATCTGTGAGACAGACACAGAAAGGAAAACAGTTGAATTAGGCCACCATGGGGAACGGTCACCAATCAGACATCTTTTTGGAAATGGGTGCAAGCATTTTTCTTTCATTTAGATTTCCCCCCCTCTAAATAGATCCATAAACGTGCTAGATCTAGACTCCACATTTTCTATGTGCTGCCAACTATTTACTCATTCTGAGTCATCTCTGCATCACGTCTTTGCAGATGCAATGATTTAATGCTTTCAGTATCTGCAAGGCTGCCAGAGTCTGAGCTCATCTTCTCACACGTTTTATTCTGTTCAACTCTAACTGAAGAGACGTCCAGGTTTTTTCTGCTCTCTGCCTAAATTCTGGAGGGGATTGAAAGACGGTTTTAGTTTTACTCTCAAACGCGTGACGCTCGGTGTATAAATGTAAGGTTCTGTTTTCAGGACGGGGTTCTGCTCGGAGCAGTCGGTGCCTATGACTGGAACGGTGCCGTGCTGAAAGAAACCAAACGTGGCAAAGTTGTTTCACCAAAATCATCTTACAAAGACGAGTTTCCGGAAGCCATGAAGAACCATGCTGCTTATTTGGGTAATAGCAATGACTTTGATTCAGATGAAGTTTAAAGTTATTCAGTTTCTAAAATAAAGAATTTACGCAGGAACTGATCCAAATGATAAATGAAGTTAAATTAAAAATTAAATATCAGGATTCCTTACAAAAAAAGCAGCATAGTCCTGCCTTGGTTTTGACATGAACCCTACTAAAGGAATATTACGGTCAGCGAGGAATAATCAATGGATCATTATTTATACCTAAAATGAATACGTCCTGAGGTCTTTCTTTTCTTCTCATGCACTTAGTAGACACTTTCTCTCTTTGGACCCTCAGCCATTTTCAAAGAACCACAGTGAGTTTGAAGAAAAAAAGATAGCTAACAGGACAAGCACGTAGAATGGCCTTATGTTAAAATATCACCAGAATGATTGACATCTAGGAGGACCACTGATTGAGATGATCCACCCGGAAATAAAAGATCATCCTCTATGCCTTTAAATACAGTAATCAATAAATAAACTTTGTTACTCTCCAAAACTGATCATGCCATAAAATTACAAGGCAGCTCTGGCCAGTACTATAAGATGCTTGATATTAAGGTTAATCATTTTAGGCTCTGGTGGGAATAAAATCTGCATGAATAATTTATCAGTGGAATCCTGTGGCACAACTTTTAAAATCTTTAATTTCAGGACAGGTGGCATTAAGCTTTCCAGAGTCAGAAGAATGAGAGATAATTCAATCATTTTGAATTCTTTTTCAGGTTATTCGGTGGAGGCAGTCGTTTCCTCTCGTGGTCCTCAGCTTTATATAGCTGGAGCTCCTAGATTCAACCACACTGGCAAAGTCATCATTTTTACCCTGAAGAACAATGGGAACCTCACTATCCTGCAGGCGCTTCTGGGACAGCAGGTCTGCTAAATGCCTACACATACATGTTGGCTTATTCTGTCTTTATCTGAATTGATTTCAATTCATTTTCTTTTCTATCACTGACAGTAAAAATCTAAACTTAACTATGACCAACACCAGTGTTTTCCTAATCTGTAATCCTCCTGGCTAATAGAGGACCACAGTCAGGGGAGATT